GCCTACCCTGCTTACTCTGAAATGGCACCTGACTGAATAGCCCTAGATCCAAATACCACCCCAGCCATGTATATATACCATATATACACCAGTCACTATAAAGGTGATACTCTGAAGCACCTCCTTCACCAACGCTGGACGCTAGCAGCGGTCTCTGTAATCCTTAAAAACTTGGAGGATATCATTGCGGTACTGTCAGAGACGAGCAGCTCTCTGGCCTTTGGATCAGAAGTGAGAGTGCAGGCAACTGGCCTTTTACACCAGATAAAGGAGCGCAGCTTTGTGTTCATTGGACATGTGTGCACAATATATTACTGCTTGTGGACTCCCCTAACAAACAGCTACATGCGAAGGAAATGGACCTACTGAATGCAGTGAAACTTGTGCACAGCGCAATAGACTGTGTTGGTGATCTGAGATGCGACGATGCATTTACAGAGCTCTGGAGTACTGCTACCAACAACGACGAGCCCATACAACCCAGCAAAAGGAGATGTGTTATGAACTGGAACCTGGAGGTGTAAATGGAGAAACAGCTGTTTTATTTTTTCTTGTAAATGGAAATTGTAGAATAATCTGTGTATGTTGTGGGTGTTTTTAATTTGTTTTGATAAAGGTAACTACATGATGCTTTTTTAATAGTAGGCTACTGTAAACGCTTATGTTAGAGCAAACGAGAATAAAGCTTCCGATATAGCTTTTTTTCTCTCTCCAGTGAGATAGCAATTAAACTACTATCCTGTCAATGAGAGACTGTGTGCATGTTTGTTAGCTTTGTTTATAATAAAGCTGTGGTCAGAGTCAGTCTTAGAGGAGTTGGTCTTGCAATATTGTTGTATAGGCCTTTTTAACCCTTATTAATCTAATATCGTAAGAGTCGCACGTCTTGCAAGAATGTGTAATGGTTCATGTGTTTACTCTATGGGTCGCATCACTTCATGGTAATAGCTAACAGAAAAGGCAGTAGCAATAATTATTATAGGATCTCTGATATCCGAAAAAAAAAAGTCCCCATAGCGCCCACCCATGGAAAATAAATGCCCCCCTGCTGAGCTCAGTCTGAAGCTGCCTCTGGACCAACCTTAAAATAAATATAAACTCAGCAGGTGGCTGAGACAGACCAGCTCCTTTCTACCACCAGCAGCAGAGGGAGGTGGATGGGGACAGGAGGAAGGATTGATAGGGATTGAGTTCATCATTATTTCAAAACTTAGTACTTAGTATTTTGATGTCATGAAAAAACTACAACAGCGCCAGCACCCCCTAGAGGCAGCTCAAGCACCCCCAGGGGTGCGCGCACCACACTGGGAATTGCTGCGTTAAAGGTACAGTTTAACTGCTCTTTACGACGTTAGCACTACTTCACATTTATACACGGCGTTCGGATGATATATGCTGCATTGTCGAAGAATACGTCGCTATCACTTCGCTTTCGTGTCGCTAATGCTTATGTGTTAAGGTGACTAGAATTCTGAAATGAAAACCGGGGACATTTTTGGTTTGGTGGTCAGTATGTCATTAAAAAATATTATGTTATTATATATTAAAATTAAAAAGGGAGACAATTTCAGTTTTGTAATGTAGTCTTCTGAATGAAATCAAGTCATTTTGAGGCAGAAACTACATTTTAGTCAATAAGTAGAGGCTGCAATCACTTTCTGGCAAGTAGAATACTGCATGTTATGGGTTGTATTGGCCATTTAAAGGTATTTCAACCAGTAAAAAGGACTTGGTTTGTTGCAGCAAGTAAAATAATGCAGAGTTATAAGGATAATTGCAAAAGATGATGTCTTTATTTTATAACTCAGCAGTAAGTCCTGTTAATTATAGGCTACAGTCTGTTTTCCAAATATAATATATAATAATATAATAACAGGGATATTAGACATATATGCCTACCAAATAGGACTGTCCCCGGAAAATGGGGACGTCTGGTCACCCTAATGTGTTCCTATTTCCAATCACATAAATGTATAACTCTCACAATATTATGATATCTTCTGTTTTTTGAGCATATTTTGATACTCTTTGATATTATAATATCAGAATTTTAGGAAGAGGCAACGTTAGTGTATTCTGATCATAATATACCCAATCAAATAATGCTCCCAATCAAATAATCAAATAATGCTCCCAATACAGAGTCATTTTATATTGCACTACTACTCACACCATGTGTACTGTAAGGCAGTGGTTCTCAAAAAGGGCTCCGTTTGAAAAGTTTGAAAACCACTGCAGTAAGGAGATGGGAAGCATGTTGAAATATTATAGTTTCGGCCATAAAACTTACCACCTCTGGTAAAGTTAAGATAACAGACTCTATGCATGACTGTTAAAATGACAATATTAATCTTGTCCATAGACTAACCTCAACCTGAACCAGGCAGTGAGGACCTCAGCGGTCATAAACAAAAACAAACTCGGACTGCATCTTCTCACTGTCATATCTTCACTTTGGAATGGCCGATCGACACCAAATTTGGACCCGTAATGTGGTACGCCCCCCTGAGGGCATCTGCAAAATTTGGTGCAACTACCCTCTAGGTGGTGCTATTGAATCGAAAAAAAATTGTTCCTCTATAGCCACAGGGGACATTGACATGACACCTGTGCCGAATTGTTCAGCATGGTCCCCTCACTACAGGCACCAAACTTGATCTAAATATGCCCGTAGGTGGCGCTGTTATTGCACATTAAAGATGTAAAAAAAAATATCCCATTGACTTACATGCATTTTATCTCCATAACCACAAGTCCAGTTGATACCAAATTTGGGGCAATTGTTCCCCATGCGGCCCTGATGACACCTGAAAGATTTGGTGCCATTCGGCCAAAAGGTGGCGCTATAATGGAAGCTCAAATACAGTCGAACAATCACATTCATTTCAATGGGATTTTCAACCAAAGGACATTTTGCCTCATAACTACGCGCCACTTCATCGCACATTCATAAACCTAACCTCTACGTGTTTGGGTGATACTGTCGATGTTGATAAATTGCGAAAACTGAAAAACCTATTTTAATTAACTCCTCCGAAGCCGAAAGTCCGGTCGGCACCAAACTTGCCATGGACAATCACAAATGTCCTAAACGTAGCTTAACAATTGTTTGCAGAAACGCAAAAACAATGCATGTGATGTCATATCTTACGTTTGCAATGGCCGATCTACACCAAACTCGCGGAACTTATCTCGCACGCCCTCCCTAGGGGCTGTGTGAAATTTGGCGTCAATCAACCTCTAGGTGGCGCTATTCATTGGAAATCAAATAACACTCCCATAGACATACATTCATTTCAGATCTCCATAACCGCAAGCCCCTTTTATTCATAACTCTGGTAATTTATTCAGAAACAACAAAGTTTCTTTTTAAGCTTTATTTCCGTCGAATTAACGCTAACCTCACTCCTCCCAACGACAACAAGTCGGAGGCCAGCCACGTGGGTTAGTTACACCAGCTGTAACACACAGGACATCAAACAACAAACCGAGCCAGGGTTAACTGTCTATCACTGCAAGAGTTTCTTCATCACCAGCCGAAGCAGGCGAACCCCAAGAATAATCCCTGGCAGAGCCGAGCCATATGGTGTACCAAGCCGCTGTGAACGCAACAATCAGCAGCCCCCCGCCACAGTTACACTGTCATTCTGTGGGAAACACTGCTCACATTGAACTCTCTAACACTCATTGATTGCATTCTGGTTGTTTATTCATTATTGTTGTTTGTCTTTGATATATCTAGCCTCACTGTGTACTCACTTTAGTTAGTTAATAAATTTCACTTTAATCACAGGAACTGTGTATGTGTACTGTTTAAATCCAGGTTACTGGACGGAGGATTCACAACTTTGATATGAGACTGACTGATTCGATTGATTAAACTCAATCAGACTCAAAATGATTAGCAATTGTTGACTAACTGATCACTAGTGAATAATTGTGTAATTATTAAAGCTATACCCAAGGAGTTTTAAACCCTTGGGCAGACAGAATTTTAGGTGGTGCCCCCAAAACGAGGGTTAAATAATAATATTTCCAAATATTATTATTCATAACTTTATTACCAGTAAGTAGGTTTGCTACAATAATTTTGTAACAGGCAGTGTTAGCTGCTGTAAGCAATGTTAGAGAATATTTAGAAGTGATGAACTAGGGAGAAATGATAGGACCGTTCGTTAGAAATACAACACTGTTTCAGAAATAAATCTACAATCACCTCTGTTAGCAAGGTAGCCTCTACCACTCACCTACCGGTTACTGCTCTGACCGGGAGGAAGCTGGGAGAGGGCAATGAAAAACAGGATGGTTAGCAAGTCATGAATGTTTTCAGGAGAGGAGAAGCAATTGGGGCCGTTTTAATTAAAATCTAAGTCATGTAATTAACATGAGGCTCACGAGATAGAGCGGGTTGCCCGTTAATCGGTAGGTTGGCAGTTCAATCCCCGACTCCTCCAGGCTGCATGTCGAAGTGTCCTTGGGCACTTGGGCACTGGCGGCTGTTCCACCAGTGTATGAATGAGTGTGAATGAAAGTTTGTTTGAGCACTTAGGCTCAGTGTATGAATGTGTGTGACTGGTGAATGCAGATGTAGTGTAAAAGCGCTTTGAGTGGTCGAAAAGACTAGAAAGGCGCTATACAAATACAGAGCATTTACATTTACAAATGACAAACTCACCAGTTAGCCACTCTTCCTTGATCGTTTTACATGCTCCGGTAGACTGCGGTCAGCTCAGTTTTCTTTTGTGGTAGTGTTGTTAACAGAGGAGCTGCAGAGCGCCCTCTGGTGGGCAAACTATGCCCTTGTGACATGAGGGAAGGATCTGACTGTTTCTCTTTTAATATTCATATATATGCTGTTATAAATGCCAATGCCGATTTAAATGCAATTAGCTCATACCAGCCGATGATATCTGTCGGCGGATTAATCAGTCGATCTCTACAATGTATATTATACAACTGACATGCACAGTCACTACCACACGTCTTCTTCTCTCACTGACCTTGTGACTGAAGCATTTCTCGGTGGAGAAGTCAGCACTGTTGGCGATCACAGTCTCACTGGGGAGGACGGCGTAAGCTACAACCTGGACCTCTGGTGCCATCTCTGCAGACACTGTCAACTTGAAGGACACCTCTCCCTCAGTCACTGAAACAACATACCAACTGTCATCATTCACATGCCTCCATAGGTCAAGAAAATGCAGCTCAAAGGTGATCAGGTCATGCTAATTTAAAGAGTGATTTTAAGCTGTCGTTCACCTGATTTATCTTGTACTTCAACCTTTTTAACTCCTTGCATGAGAATGGCTCCTCTAGATAAGACCTGGACAATTTGAGCGAAAACAACAGAATGATTAATGCAATAGTAAAACCTCATTTTCTTTGCAGATTGCAACACTGCCTGCTGTTCTGGTCTGTGGCTATCTATCATGTTCCTAAGTACTTACTTGAAGTATGTTTGTTGGTTTGTTGTACAAGTTCAATGTGCAGGACATCAATAAGTGGTTGATCGGCTAAAATACAGTTGCTCTATCCAGATCTGAGGTCACGCTCACAGAGCAAGTGCAAGTTACTCTGGCTCTGGTATCTGGCTTTACTAAACTAAACACTGGTGACTTTGAATGACTGGTCTTCCAACTCTCTGGTTACCAACTGGCACCGTTAACTCTGAGTTTACCAAACTATGTTCTCGTGAAAGAGAATGGGCTTATAACAAACAGCCAATCATATGCAACAACATATTCACAGGGGCATCTTAATGAGATATGATGAAATTATTGATTCCTGCAGGTAACACTATTAACCAGTGTTTGGTCGTGGTCCTTATATTACTATTACTCAGCCTAGCCCATGCTAAAATGTTACCATGTAGCACAGAAACAGGAAGTCTCCCGGGTAATATGAAGAGTTTTGAGTTCCTTTGGGCCAGGTGTCATTAATCTGAAAGTTCATTTTAAAAGCATCTTCCCTATGTCCATGTCTCTGGAAGAGAACTGATGACCAGCTGAGAAATACTTCACCCACCACTCACCAGATACATCACATCCACAGAGCCCTGGGTCTCTCCAACTACAGTGTATTTGATGGAGATGTCTTCTTCTCTGTCACAGATAATTGGTTGATCCTTCTTCTTTACCTCAAGGGTGCTGACTGTTTTAGTAACAGGAGAAGGAGGTTCAGCTGCAGACAACACTTGATCTCCAACCTCATAGTATGGCATTCTAAAACCAACGTAGTCCAGCTTCGGTTTGTTGCCAACCTAGATTGCAGGACAGAAACACCATAAATGAGCTCATGGTGGCAGAGGTAGAAGAATGTTTTGTCATTTATGTTGTATTACAGGCTGTAGTGTTACTGCTACCTCTTACTTACGTGGAGGTGGATGCCCCCTTTAAGGTCAGCAGAGTTGAATGAGAAGGTGGCAATCCCATCACTGTCAGTTGTGAGGTTCTGTACCAGACGTGCTGACCACCTTTCACCCTCAAACAGGTACACTGGCATGTCAGGAATGGGTGTATTATTGTAGTGAACTGCTTTAACCTGTTAGAAGCACAAAGTTGTATCATGGCTTCATTTGCACTGTGAATAGAATCAGATTGAAGAAGTGGAGACCACATGCACTTACTTTTCCCTCCACATTTGATCCTTGGTCATAAATCTTGGGTGTGTCAATGAAGGACAGCTTTCCAACAACATATGAAATCCCTATTCTCTTCTCCTGTTGGTATAAAATCCCTGTACAAGAAGCTTCCATGTTACAACAACGTGTATGCTATACTGTTTAAAAACACGACAATGTGATTTTCTTAATACACTAATTCTTTTTTTAAAATAAAAATTGTAATAAAATATATTATACTTGCCTGTCCCCTCCTCTTCCACCTTGGCACTGAGGACCAGTGAATCTTGCAGCACCTTTTGGTCAAGTTTTGTGAAAGTTGACATTCCAAAGGTAAAAGTGGCACAGCCTCTCTTGTCCGTCTAGAAAGTACAATAAAATAACATCAAATAAAATGAAAAAGAATAATAAAAATAGAAAGACATATTAAACATAACCCAATTTCATATCCTTATTCAGTCAAACTTTAAACTGGTTACAACACTTAGGAAATTTGTTCAGCTTTTTCATACCTTTTATTAGTTGGTGTTTCACACAGACACACAGCATTGTTTTCTATCACCTTCTCCCGCATTCATTGATTCAAAGTAAACTAGTTCTAGGTACAATTCACGAGTTACGATATCTCTGGGTTTGTTTTCTGCATAGATTAGGTTTTCTGTACGGCGTAGGATAGCGTCAGCCTCATCTGGCTAATTTTCTGTAGTTTCTGTAACATTTACTTTTTTTGTCATCTGCCGCAACTGTCTTCTTTTCGTTACATATCTCTTTTAGGCTGCGTTCAGACTGCATGCCAAAGTGACCCAAATCTAATGTTTGATGTCAAAGATTGCAGTGGATTAGAACTGCCAATATTTTTTCATTACTTCCTGGCCAACAGACTACAATATATCTAAAAATGGATCAGTCAGAACCCACTGGACTCATGGATGGACATAGAACAAACATTCTGTAAAGAAATTAAAACTTCCGATATGCCATTCATCAGCTCCTGTATCAAACATCATACCTGCTTTAAAGGCAACTCTTAGATGTTAACTGACTCCATAATCACGTTAATGGGAGAAATAACAGAGAAGGGAAATCTGTTGTAATAAATGCAAAACGTTATGTGTGCTGCCTTTGTTGTTCAGAACTACAGTGAACACAGATTTTAACTAGACAGTCAATCATTAAACTAATCAAATATAAAAACTGACAGTGATCCACTTTTCTTCTGTAATCTGTCTTCGCTTGGTATGAAACTTCGGTGGTGTTGTGATGTATCAGATTAGCTCCATCATCCAATCAATTAAGGGGACGTGTTGGTCAGCAGCAGTGTATCCTCGCTATTAGCTCCCAGAGAGAAGACAGAGAGACTAAATGATCTCTGTATGAAAAGTCACTGCTGGTGTTGTGTTAGAAGTCTTTTTACACACCGCTGGTTCTGGTAAAGCCGGACCGCTAAAGCAACGATGTGTGCTTTCACATATATGTGTAGGAAGAGAGAGAAAATAGCAAGGGACAAAGAAGAAAGTGTCAAAAGTATGGGATTATTTCAAACTCAAAGAAAACAACAACTCTGTAATGTTACAGTCCATCCACTGTAAAACGAAACTTATGTTGCTTAACATTACCACAACAGCACGACGGCACCTGATCAGAAGCAAAAGTACTTCTTAAACGACGTATTGCTGAATTGATTAAATAATCCGTAGAAGCTTTGAGTACTAAAATCATCATTAGCTGCACCCCTACATATATGCGGATATTCATTCTGCGTTTATCTCTCGTATGAAAGCGGCTACACTTTCACTTGCCCCTCTTTCCCTTCAAACTCCTGTGCCCTGTCCCCTAACGCCCACCCCCTTAAAAATCTACACCAATCAAACATAAGTAACATGAAATGAACATAAACAACAACTTAGGCTGTGCGATATGACAATATCTATCGTCTGACGATAGAAAAACATCTATCTGGCACAACATGCTATACAGTCCCCTTCAAAAGTATTGGAACGGTAAGGCAAATTCCTTTGTTTTTGTTCACTGAAGACATTTGGGTTTAAGATCAAAAGATGACTGTGAGTCAAGAGTTCAGAATTTCAGCTGTCATTTCCTGGTATTCACATCTAGATGTGTTAAACAACTCAGGATATATCACCCTTTGTTTGAAACCACTCATTGTGGGTCAAGTGAGAAACTATTGTTGTCATGTGACTGACAGATGTTTCTTGTTGCCCAGGTGTTGCCTTTTAGGCTGACTGTCCAAACATTAAATAGCTCTGCATGACTAGTCTAAGTTTTCATCCTTGGTTCAAACCTATAAAGACTGCATTTCCTGTTAAAGAGGATAAACCAACATGAAGCCCAGAGAGCTGTCTATGGGAGAAAAGCAAGCCATTGTCAAGCTGAGAAAAGAAGGAAAATCGACCAGAGCCATTGGACAAACATTGGGCATAGCAAGCACAACAATTTGGAATGTCCTGAAAAATAAAGAAACTACTGGTGTACTGAGCAACAGACGTCCAACAGGTCGGCCAAGGAAAACTATAGCTGATGACAGAAATATCATGAGAGCTGTGAAGAAAACCTCCAAAACATCAGTAAGTGACATCAGCAACGACCTCCACAGTGCAGGGTGAAGGTATCACAATCCACTGTTGGAAGAAGACTCAGAGAGCAGAAACATAGAGGCCACATCACAAGATGCAAACCACTCATCAGCAGGAAGAATCGCAAGGCCAGATTTAAATTTGCCAAGAAGTACAGAGATGAGCCGCAAAAGTCCTGGAACACAATCTGATGGACTGATGAGACCAAGATTAATCTCTAGCAAAGTGATGGAAAGGCCAAAGTGTGGAGAAAGAAAGGAACTGCTTATGATCTGAAGCAAACAAGCTCATCTGTGAAGCCTGGTGGAGGTGATGTCATGGCTTGGGCGTGCATGGCTGCTCCTGGAACAGGCTTAGTAATATTTATTGATGATGTAACTGATGATGGTCGCAGCAGAATGAATTCAGAAGTGGACAGAAACATTTTGTCTGCCGGAGAAATGCATTGAAACTAATGGGGAGGCATTATCATGCAGCAGCACAAATGAAGAATGCAACAGTTTGGTGATGTCGATGGGTCGCAGGCTTGAGGCAGTTATTGCAAGCAAATATTAAATGTTATTTACTTAAAGATTATTTGTTCCATTACTTGCTCACCTAAGAATGCTGTGGTCTAATACAAACGGTGATATGTCCTGAGATGTTTAACACATCTAGATGTGAAAACCAAGAAATAAAAGCTGAAATTGTGACCTCTTGTCTCTTTATCATAAACCCAAATGTCTTCAGTGAACAACAAAAACAAAGGAATTCGCCCAGGCTGCAGGGCGGGACAGGTAAAAAAAATAAGACATAAATGAAAAATAAAGAAATCTGTGAACCTAAGTCATGCTGCGTGTGACGCGATATTATTCTTCTCACTTGCAGGCTGTGGACAGTTCACTCTGATATAAAAAATATCACACTTGGGCACTAAATTGGAATTCATTTCCAGCTTGCGCCTAGAATGACCACCAAGGAACAACAACTTAGTTGCCTGGATATGATTTCACCTATCAGTCAGTGTTCACGACATGGTGAATTTATGAATTAAAGTATGAAAGCTCTGTCACAAAACGATGTTGTTACGTATCCTCACACTTTTTAAAGTGTATATGCCGTATGCCTGCAGATCACGTAGACTACACCACTGGTCTAGACCAACCGAGGTTCTTAAGACTTAAAGGATTATATTCTGTGTGTTATTCATGAACCTGTGCCTTTTCAATGTGTCTACATGAGCAGAGCGGCCGTTCAGGCAGAACATGCAAAACCTAGTCTACCGTAGCATACACAATAGGAGTAAGGCACCTGCTGCAAGTCACGTACGCAACGAATGAGATCATGGCAAACTGTGGCCAAGAATGAGATCATGACACATTGTGAATGATGTTGACTGGTACTGCAAGGTACAGCTAGAAGCTAGGCTTTGTACTGCAAGAAACTAAGCTTTGTATGAGACATGGCATATTCATGTTTGATGTGTTGAATCATGTTATACGTTTATCCTTATTATTTATTTAAAAAAATACAATTGTAAGTGTTTAAGTTTTAATGGTGTCAAAATATCCCTGTATAACTTTTAAAAAATACGGTGAAGCTGAAGTTGAAACATATTGTTTTTCTTTTATTATTATTTATTTATTATTATTGTTAAAAATATAAAGAAGGATAACTTGTAACAATAATTATGCTGAATAACAGCTAAAAAGAAATTTCGATATTAGTGAAAGGGTTAAATTGGTAAAACAGTACGTAAAAAACGGCCACTAGATGGCAGCAGAGGATAAGAAATTCACCATTGGAAGGGAGTGGTCAGCGAACACTGTAGGTGGAGACCAAGTGTGACGCCCACCTGGAAGGTGGAGCTTAAGGTGAATATAAGGCGAGGTTCGCTGACCACCAGTTCAGTTCCATCCTCAGACCTGCAGGGATGTTACTCGGGTTTACTTGTCCTTTATTGGAAGAAACTGAACTCCAGTGAAGTTTTTGACCACGCAGCTTTTGACTAAAGAAGAAAGCTAATAGAGTCATTTTACTGAGTTTAATAAGTTGGTTAGGGTAGGGTCAAGGCCTTCCACTGGGCCGGCCTGTCCTTATTTCTGACCCAACACAACCACTGAGTAACACAGTGGCAAACAGCTTTAACACACTAGCAATTTATTTGTTCTGTATTTATCTCATCATTAGATTCAGTTGGCTTCAGTCAGTGTTCATAAACTGACTCACTCTTTAAACCACACCCTTCAAACTTGTTCTGGCATTTGGCATTAAAATCGAACATTTAATAGTCTTTCTACAGAATCCTATTTTATCTGACCACAATTTCATAACTTTGGAATTCTTATTGCTGGACTACAGGCCAAAACATAGGCAAAACGTATGTTACAATATGGTAACCCTATTTCTATAAGCTCAGGCGGAGCCCTCTACTGGACTCTGTATAAATAGCAGTGTCCCAACTTCCTCAGCATCTGACTGCCTCTTTGGCAGACGGTGTCGGAGTAGCAGGGCTTATCAGTAGAGGGCGTTGCCTGTGCTTATAGAACTAGGGGTACCATTCTGTAACCTTCGTTCTATCTCAAAGAGACTCCGCCCTCTACTGGACTCTATATGTACAGTGGATGGAGCCCGATGACTGTCTGCCCTAGCCACGACAAACCAAAGTCTCTAAAATATTGACAGCTTGCTCTTTTTATCTATTGCATTTAATCTGTATTTCTCTATCATCATGGATCATGTGGAGTGTCAGACTTCATCCAGCCAGAGGGAACTATCACGTGAACTCGTGATGGTTCCGTCTTGCAGGGCCACATATAGATCGGTCACATTCACACTCGCACCTAAGGACAATTTAGGGTCACCAATCAACCTAGTCCGCATGTCTTTGTACTGTGGGAAGCCAGAGCACCCGGAGAGAACCCACGCAGACACAGGGAGAACATGCAAACTCCACACAGAAAGGCCGGGTCAAACCGGGGTTTGAACTTGCGACTTTCTTGCTGTGAGGCCACAGTGTTACCGTGCCACCCCAAAATGGCTACATATGAGAATAAAATTATTATTATAATAATAATATTAAGACAAATATGCCTGATACTTTCACAGTCAACCCCAGAAATTCATGCTTGCAGCTATTAATGATTCAGCAGTAAGAATCACAGTCACAGGAAAAAAACCTGAGCTCCCCCGAAAGCTATGTATAGTTCACTCACTGATGTGGTTTTTTTGGAAAAAAACTATGAACTTGAAGCCGGATGTCAAAGCTAACCACCTGGGAATTGAGGTAAGTTAATGTTTCCTTTGCAACAAAAATGAGAACAAAGCTAACAATCGAATCATCTCTATTTTGGTTCGAGCAGATTGACCAAAATGCTAAATAAAATTATACTAATGAGTTAGAAAAGACTAAAATTATGGTTAATGACTAAAACTAGACTAAAATACTTTTGATTTTCTTTTGACTAAAGTCAGACTAACATACCCAGACTTTAAACCTGATTTTAAAAAATGGTATCCAGTGGACCAAATATGACAAAAACTAACGAGGACATTTGACACAGGACTAAGACTAAATTTTAAAATGGCTGACAAAATTAACACTACTGCACAGTATGAGGACAATATTCACTTGCAATAAATAAACAAATACTGAAGTGTGTATATTAGCTGCCTGGTTGTTTTTAAATTAATTATAGGATTAGAACTGAATATTTTAAATTCACCAAAATTTTTCGAGAGCAGCAACATTAATGTTTACAACAGCAACGTCACTATATAAAGTTAATATGTGACATCACAATACTGAGTGACATTCAGAAAGAATGAAGAACTCAGACATCAGTCAGCATCTTCTCACTGCCTGACTGTAACGTTACCTGGTAGAAGGAGGAGCGGCTGGTTTGTCTCAGATTTGACGCTCAACCTTTATAAGCACCTTGTTTCAGCACTAAGATGAGTCGCCACAGCAACTGTACCTGCTTTGTCTCATTGTAGCATGGGGCAGTTATGTCAGGGTCTCCCTCTGGATGTTCAGGGGTGATTCCAAGGGCAAGATCAATATAGTCATCAAGAGGTCGGCACACATGAACTTGAACACTGCCTGGCACAGGCTGTCCGTATGTATACCTGATTAGAGGGACGTTGAAAAAAAAACCATTGTACTGTTGAAAAGGAGTCATTCACTCAACAAAATGGATTTATTTAAGAGTGTAATGAGTGAAAGGTCTTTTACTTACTTTGCACATACTTCAGCTTTGATTTCTTCCTGATCAATACTTACTTCATCAGACGCATTTATTTTTACATCAAATTTCGGCAAAACTGGGGACAAAATATTATTATTATTCTTGCTTCATTACAAATGCATTGAAATAAAAAGTAAAAAAATACACCCTAGCTTACCATATTTCTCCACCTTGAATCTGTGATACACTTTATTTTTACCAATCGACACAATGACTTGGTAGGTTCCTTCACGGGCCTCAGAGTTCAGGGAGTAAGAAAGCTGCAGGATTTTACCATTCGACGTTTTGTTCAGCCACTGCCCAATCCTGTTGTTGTTAGGATCCTGTGCAATAAGGCAAATGGGAAGATAGAGAGAAAAATGCATGTACCAAACAGAAAAACACTGCTAACCATGCAGCTCATTGTTAATTTTTCTCCTTCAACAAGATGGCAGATGAAACTGGGCCATTCATTTGAATAGTCTAAAATTGTTAATCATCATGGTCACTTAAAGCACTGAAGCTGACAACTGATTTGAAACAACTCTTAAACAGATGCTGACCAATGCATTCTACTGACGCTGTGCCCTTTACTTTCTCGTTAGGCCTGTCAACAACGCTGATTGATGCGGCCTGTGACGGATCATCCTACATAAGACTGCAAACAAAACTGGCTGTTCTTAAATTGCGTGTTAGCTTGCTGCTCAACACACGGCTAGGTTTCAGTATTCAGTCAGCCTCGATGTGTGATGTTAATTGGTGTCTGTAACATCCAGTGATCAGTCTGCCTCGATGCATTACATTAAGCTACATTTTGCTCTGTTGGACACGAGTGTGTTAAGCCCTTTTTTGCTCCAAGCTATATACGGGAAACAGTCTGAGGTGTTTGGAAATCTTGCTGGAATAGAACCAGCATTAAAATCTGATAAAAATTGCAGGTAAACCTAACCAAACTGTTCCTCCTGCCCCACTGTATCCTATTCCTGTGACAGGAGAGCCGTTCGAGCAAGAAATCAACTGTCTTGGCGCCTACCTCACACTAAAAGCTATGAGCTACTAAATCAGTATCTGCTTACTGTCACGTGTTTCTCCTCCTTTCCCTGAGGATAACCCTCTCTGCAAAATAACTGCTAGTGCAGTCATGAAAGCATAAATGAAGTTCTTATCCACTTTCGGGATAATTCAAACAGACCAAGGCTCTAATTTTCAATCAGGCCTTTTAAAGAGTCTGAATGTGCATCATACGGTTTCTTCCGCATATCACCCCATAAGTCGATGCTCAGGAAATATTGTGTGGAATCTGAAAGACATTGGCATGAGGGGATAACCTTTGTGCTGTTATTAACAAAGAGTAGATACGCTACACTGTGGTCCGTTCTTCCACAAGTGCCGCCGTTGCAGGGAAGAAATTTGCATTAAGAATAAACAAACGTGGAGAAAAGTGAGGTTTACACAGAACTGGGTGACTGAACAGGACTAAGACCATGCAAGAAAAAACAAGGAGGTCATACCAAAGAGAGATGTCTGTTGTCAAGACGAGCCACACAACACTATTCCAGCAGTTGCAGCCATGATTTGTGTATCAGCTAACGTTCAATGATTTGCCCACAGACATTCAGCTTACTTTCTAGTTCGCAAAGTCAACGACGTTGACTGTAAAAATTCGTCGATTTGAAATTTCTTTGTTGACGCATCGTTACAGAGAGGCTGTTTCAGGGAGAGAGATAGCAATCTTCTTATTAAGAACATTTCTGGTTGGTCATTTCTAACTGCAATACACTACATGCTAGGGGCAGTATCTCTTCCACCGTCTGGCATTGACTGCTTGACTGTAAGACTACTCACGAAGAAGAAGCATTAATGTGAGCAGAAGAAAGCAGCGGTGAACACTAAATACACTTGAGAGGTTTTGAGGGGAGGAATTTAGAACTTGAATATTGGCAGTTTTATTAAAGTTGATGGCGAATCCAAAATGTGCTTAAACGTAAACGAGTTAGGAAGCTCCACAAAACCCCGTGAGGTTAGCGGTGCCAGCCAGCCGGTGCCAGTCACGCCGCAGAGCCCTCTGGTCCCAGTTACTCAGACCGCTGCAGCAGCAACAACAGAGCAGCAGCGACAGATGAAAGGCAGTGTTTCCAGGGTATATACAGGAATGAAGTGAAATTCAACATCTTTTAAAACCTTTTTTAAGACCTTTTCAATATATTTTAAGACTGCAGAACCACTTACAGCAGTAACCGGTCAGCCTCACACCTTTAAAAGGGGAATTGTGGAAGTTTTAGAAAGATTTTAAAAATATTTATAACATTTGCATTGCCTATATTTGATCAGGTTGTAATCTCGCCTAAAAATCGTGGCATTCACCAACTCTCTCAGTCGCCTATAACAGCCTGTATAGGCCTGTTTTCTATGTGAAGGACTGGTCAGATTTCCTGTGAAAATCCATTGTCTTACATCGCAAGATGTACATTACTGCAAAACATATGAAACACAGTGTGATTTTGTGTTGTAGTTGGTTCAAACTAGATAATTTTAGCTTGCCTGCAAACGCCAACCAGTTGATAACTGACATAGCTGTAATTTATAAATTTGTAAAGGGTATACTGTTAGTTGCAATCTGAAACCTTACAGTTGGAAGCCACTAAACATTATACAATGCAACTTTACCTTACATTTACTATAAATTGATTTTGAGACTGTAAAACTAAACACTCTGAAATTGAATGTGAGTAAATCAGCGGGGCCTGATAACATTACTGGCCATGTACTAAAAACCTGTGCCAATCAGCTAGTTGATGTTATTACTGACATTTTCAAAATCTCATCATCTCAGGAGAGGGTTCCCACCTGCTTCAAGACAGCCACCATCGTTCCTGGACCTAAAAAGTCTGCAGTGTCTAGTCTGAACAACTACCGCCCTGTGGCTCTCACCCCCATTCTGATTAAGAGCTTTGAGAAACTGGTTCTTCAGCATATACATAACAACATCCCAGTCAGCCTGGACCCTCACCAGTTTGCTTTCAGAACCAACAGATCCACAGAGGATGCCATCTCCACTGCCCTCCACTCAGCCCTCACACACCTTGAAAACAGCTCAGTATTCAACAAAATCTCCCCCATGAAACTGATCAGCAAAGGGTCAGGGTTTAAACACAACACTCTGCAATTGGATATTGGACTTCCTCAAAAATAGATCCCAGTCACTTCGGATTGGCGGACTCAATTCCTCCACTTTAGTGCTCAACATGGGAGCACCCCAGGGCTGTGTTCTCAGCCCCCTCCTGTTCACGCTGTACACCCAGATGAACAGTTTCAGGTTCCTGGGAATCAGCATCACAGAGAACCTGACGTGGTCATCTCACATCTCCACGCTGGTGAAGAAAGCTCAGAAACAACTTTATTTCTTGAGGAAGCTTAAGAAGGCCAAATCCCCCCACGCCAAGTTCTTGTCAGCTTTCACAGAGGAGCAATGGAAAACATCCTGACTGAAAACATCACAAACCTGATTAAACCTGCCCAGAAGATCATTGGTACCCATCTCCCGAGCATCAGGGATATATGCAGAGCCCAAAGGATACTAAAGGTCAGTACCCACCCAGCCACAGCTTGTTCACCCTGCTGCCTTCTGGGAAGAGATGTAGAACGTTCAGCTGCCGCACCACCAGACTGCAGAGCAGCTTTTTCCCACAAGCTGTCAGACTCTTAAACTCTAGTTCACCCTCAGCACTGCTCCAGTGAGTTTATTTCTGTTACCTTTTTTCATAATTGAATCTTTATTAATGTTTACTATCTACTATGTAGCATGGAGTTACGAAACTCAATTTAACTCAACTTTACTACAACTTGTATTGTGACAATAAAATCTACTTACCTACCTACCATAACACAATTATAATATTAATTCCAGTTAAATAGCCAGCTAGCCAATTGAATCTCTGCTTATATTTTCCCTGTTGTCTTCTGTCTTACCGATTCAGCTGCTGGCGGAGCTGTTGTCGCTCTTGTTTTTGATTAACAGGGCTGTTCAAGCGGCCACAGAGCTCGGTCCGCCCATGTTTTGAACAATTAGCACATTTCAGTAAATAATAAGCATCACATATTCAGCCAAGTCATTATATAAATAGTATTTAATATTTGAAAATGTATTGAAGGAAACCTGGAGGAGCCCATTCGAATAGGCTGATGGAGCTGATAACATTAATGTATAGAACATATCTATAATTTACAGGGGCTTAAGTTTGTCAGTAGAGTAGATGCTGGATCATCAGTCAGTATAAGCACAGCTGATCCACATCCAGCCTCACCCAGTACGAGCACAGCCAGAGATGTACAGCCAGCATCAGATACAAGCAGCTCAGACCCTAATGGAACAGTTTTTGCACCACCAAATGACCCAGCAGATTGGCCCCCAGTCTTATCAGGCTTCATGAGGAGTGAGTTAGTGCACAGAGGTCCATTCAAACCAGCACTGGATTTTTCTAGAAGAGGTTTCCATTCAGGCTTCTTACAGAAGGAGGAGTGTAGTGAGAGCTGGTGTCAGGTGTGACTGTGCAGCAGCTCTGTTTTTGCACTGTGAGCTGCAACCAGTTTGTGACAGAGTGGTAACGTCGCTGGTAGAGTTTTGCAATATAAACATCTGAAAACTGAAGCCAAATTTGCTCTGTTTGGGACTATGAGATGCACTTTATGAGAGGTGCTGAAATGAACGTGTTTGGAGTTTCGGTGAGATTGTGAATTGAGAAGTGTTTCAGTTAGTTTTGGTTTCCACCTTCTTGTCAATACATGCTCAAAGTCCAAAATGGGGTTCTGTGTCTGTGTCACGATTCCGTGGGTGAGCGTAGAGGAGACACTGGAGAGTAGACTGAAGGTGCACAGGGTTTAATCCAAGAAACACAAAAATGGCTTACATGCAGTTTGGGTGTAAGACGTCCAAACAGAGGAGCAGGTTACACAGAGACAGGCAGAACACTTAACATCAGCCGCAACATCAGTAGTGTATTCACACAACACACTACAATGACTGGACAGGGAATGAGCAGAAACACCAAACATTTATAAACAGGGACTAATGCATTACAACAACGCATTACAACAACGCAGGGCTCAGGGCTAACGAGGCAGGCAGAGGCAGAGAGACAGCAGCGGGGGGGAACAGAGAGACACTCACAGATGCAAAACACAAGACCATACATTAACTGGAACTCAAAGTATTTAGTGGACAAGCAAGCAGAATAATTACTGGGGGAACAGACACAAATAAAAAGATCACAAATAAACACCAACAAGGAACACAGACTGAACTCAGAGCAGACCTGGGTAAAACAACAACCTACATAGAAGTACACAGACCCGGAGTAACACTAAGACATGAAACCAAAACCCAGAGAAACCAAAATCAGAACAGAGTAAACAAGACAACAGGCAAGACAGAACCCCAAAATACAACAGACCAAAATAACAGATAAACTGACCAAAACTCAGAGTGCAAACTAGACATGGCTGACAGTGTGTCAGATGGTCTGAAGGAGATACTACCACAACAGCAGAGCAATAACGCAGGCACATCCTCCCCATATATAGGAAATATCCATTCATCCTCTTGTGACTCAATTTTCCTTATTGTGTTTCACTATAACTTACCCGTCTTGAGTGAATTTAAAAATACAGATTGCTTTTTGTAAGACCTATAGATTTGAATGTGTAGTACTTTTAATTTTGATTACTTAAGTATTTTGAAAAGCGGGTACTATTTTATTTTTCACATTTTTTTATGTAGTATCTGTACTTTTACCTAAGTATGAAAATTGAATACTTCTTCCACTACTGTCAATGAGAAGGGACTAGTAGGCGTTTACCATAAGCCAATGATTGAAGTCCACAAAAATAAAACAAGAACATTTTGTTAAAGAAATTGTCAAGACGGGACTTGGATCCTTGAACGATATCTACTTACCAAAGAGGGGACCTCCATATCCTGCTGTGCTGGCTGCTGTCCTGAATCTCTTTCAGCAAATGAATGTTTGTTTACCTTAAAGACTTTTTTTGTTTCTTTCAAAAATGGATAATTTAACTTTAATATTATCAATATTTAAACATTTCTCTGTGATACAAATATTACAAAAATATTCATGGCCATTTTAATAGATAATACAGTTTTACCTGTAATTCAAAGGGAACTTGGTTGCATGCACTAATATCAAGAACTGCAGTATTAGCAACAAAATGTACTTTATCCAGGTTTCTTATTTTGCTCTTTATAACTTACACAGATTTTGATTCACACATCAACTACACTCTGTTGTGGCTATCTGGACATCTTCAGGGCATTTACTTCAAACCAATTTATGGTTAGTGTGGTCAGATAAAATATAATGAAGTTTCCTTTTAGTAATAAGGATAATTATACATTCAAACTCCAGAATATATGACAAGAAATGAATAAATTTAGTAATACGAAAAAAATAATCTCAATTTATCAGTCTATGCTTTTGTGACAAAACATAAAGTTCTAAGGCAGTCATAAGTATTTAAAAATAAATAAATAAAATGAGGGAAAAGGGGGTGGGGGGGGTTACATTTAAAAGTGATTGCAGCGATTTGTCAGGACTATGTGCAGGCTAGTCAAGTTCTCCACACCAAACCATCGCCTATCCATGTCTTTATGTTCCTTGCGTTGTACACTGGTGCGCAGTCATGTTGGAACAGGAAGGGACCATCCCCAAACTGTTTCCACAAAGTTGGGAGCAATAAATTGTCCAAAGTGTCTTGTTATGCTGTTACACTAACAGTTCCTTTCACTGGAACTAAGGGGCCAAGCCCAACCCCTGAAAAACAACCCCCCTCCACCAAACTTTACACTATACTTTGAATCATGCAAAGCTGCTATACAGGCGTCACAGAGCTACAATAAAGGACTATAAAAGCAGTATAATAGGTCTCCTTTAAACACATCCTCTTCATTAAGTAATAACCTATTGCTGCATTTGTGGAAAACCACAGTCTAATTACTATAAACTTACATACACTGCCACAGAAGGCACCTCTCTACGGGTAGGAATTTAAATGCTTAAATCAGTTTCTTTCCATATTAACATATTAAATTGAACAGCTCTCTTTGTGTGTGTCTGTCTCAAACACAGATACGCGCTGCTGCTGCGGCTGTGCTGCGTACGCCCCGCCACAGCAATCTAAAGTACCATCATGTGATGAATTTTAGAGTCGGACTGTGTCACCTGGACTTTTGTATTTGCAAAGAACAGAAGTCAAAGAAAAAGTTGTAAGAATCATGGCTAGTGCTGTCATTATCAAAATCCTGAAACATTACTACAAACAGCTGAGTGCAGGAGGTGTCCACAGTGCTGAAATGACGCAGACGTTCGGCATTTTCAGTACAATAACCTCCCGAATCACGGCAACCACATTTCTCTTCAACAGAGAGGCAAGACATTATGGTGAATAAAAACAACACCATGTCCCGAAAACAGGCCAGCTAACAGTTTAACACCCACAAGCACATCCACACAATTAAACAGAAGCACGGCTTGTACTTGTGCTATTTGAAAGGCATACACCTTTTACAGCCTTGCACTGAGCAAAATCTGTGACATTGTTCTTAGTAAAAAATCTAAAACAGTTTCTTTTAGGAGCTTTGCGAGGCTTGTTTTCTCTCCTGTCTTTTCTTGAAACAACTTTTTTGTTTGAATGGCCTGACTGCTAGCTTGCACTTGTGCTCTGCTAGTCTACTTGTCAGATTTTGCGTTTCACCCAGTTTCACCTAGTTTTTGTCATCTTGTCACATGATCAAATAGAAACTTAAGATTGGGCAGCCATTCACAAAATAGCCAGCAATCACCATTGCATCTGTAAGCTATGTGACACTAATCCTAAAGAAAATAAGACCATATTCATTCTGTGGAATAAATTTTTTTTTATACTTCACCGTACACTTGCTACTGCTTGCTACAGACCTTTGTGGGTAAAACTACTGACTGACACCACGGCAAAGGGGGAAATGCACATTTGATAGGTATATATCTACCACTTGATGTAACTGGTAGCATACTGGTGAGCTAAGTGTCTACTATTTCTGATGAGATTAGATACATTTTTACCATGTTACTGACAAAGTCCAGCTCTTAACCGGGCAGGCCCCTGCTCCCGTCTATACCTACAGTGTATGATTTATCTTTCTCTCATTATTTTACATCATAAGAACCTGGCATTTTAACAAGGGTGTGTAGACTTTTTCTATTCCCTGTACTACGCCCATGGTCCTGTCTGTTGCCCTTCATTGGTTTCACCTGATTGCCTGTGTCTGTGTTATGTCTCACTACATCATGTCTTCCATCTGGTCTTGGTCCCACCCTGCTCGTTACCTGGTGTTCAAATGTTTGCTTGTCCTGTTCAGTCTCTGTCGGGTCATTGTAGTTTGTCATGCGCTGTCTTGTGTGATTTCCGCTACCTGTTCGTCTCACCCGCTTGTTCTTGTGGTTTGGGATTTTTCTTTTGGTTTACCTGTTTTTGATGGATCACTTTGTTTCGTTTGGACTCTGTTCTCCATGGCTGCAACATAGTCTGTGTTCCTCAGGTTGTTCCTGAGTTAAATAACTATCATCAGCTGCATCAGCCTGCTCCTGTGTCCTGCATTTTTGTCCTCTGCTTATCCTAGGTTTTTGTTGAGATAAGGACTCATTCATAGGTGATTGAACTTTGGGCTTTGTATTGAGCACTGACTGTACAATACACTGCGGTGAACTTTGATATTATATGATATATGTCATGACTTAACTCTCAAATGACCTTTTCTGTTAAATTATTATAATGTAGTACTTCTCCTCCACTGCTCATCAAGCAAACTATTTTATTCTGTCCCTTTCTAATTTGCTTCCTTCTTATAATAATATTGAGCCCTTTTGTGCATGTAAACCTAAATATATTTAACATTGACAATTACATAAAATTATAAATGGGCTGAATTTTATTCCTTCATTTAGCGCAAACGTTGTGGCAGAAAAAAATTCTAAGTGACAGAAAAATACTTGCCTGCCACAGTGGCAGGCAGTGAATTATAGGTTTCCCTCAATACATCCATAAAAACTATTTCCATCATAAATTGGTGCTGAAGAATTCACCAGAATTCAGGGAATTAACAGTTTAATGCTCAAATTTTTCATATATTGAAGATTTCTTAAAAATAACAACAAATATCCTATCTCGTCACACCCCTAAAAAGTTTTCACATCAGAAAAAATATTGTGTGGACATTGTCTTACCTCAATTTCGATGGTATTGTACTGCAGAGAGAGAGGGAGAAAGAGAGATTTGTCGCTTTATATTGGAAGTTACTGTATATTGTTGTCATCACACAGTATCATAATGAGTCTGGGTTAGACATTTTTTTCTTTATAGAAATTAACAACGATGATGATGGACAGTCAATGCTCTGAAAATCAGTGTACTGGTACGTGTAAAACACATTAAGACAAAAAGGGCGCTTCCACTGAGGAAGGTCATTCTGACCGTTTCTTTGGATAAACAGACACTTCTATTTATTTTTCTAGGGTAGTTTCATTGTTATCACTTCAAAATGTATTTTCTGCAACAAATGTAAGAAAACGAGAAATTAGAGTTAGGGTTTAATAGATTTATTACAATTTGAGCAAAAAAAAACATAGCACTGGCAAGTTCTGTTAGAGGTCCCATTGACACAGATCTTCACCAGGATCTGATTGATTAGAGAGAACGCTCAAGAGCAGACCCGTATCAGTCAATTAATTATGTAATTTGTGTTCATTTTCACTAGAGGGCTTTTCCCACTGCAACAAGCCTGGGGCTAGCTGGACCTGCTCTGGAGCAGGGTTATCCCAGAGAAAAAATGGGGTATCACTCTGTGTGAGTTGTTGGGACTAGAGAAACACTGAAGTCCTCTCTGATTGTACATTGGTTTTACACAGAAAGCAACAGCCACATTTTATTTCTGACTCCCATCAAGTTACTCCTTTTGGCAACAACGGTGCTCAGGTATTAGAATCAGAATATGGCCAGATTGGCAACAATACTCATCTTTAAGATTGGCTTTGGACATCTCTAAATGAGATCCCAAAAAAAAGATAGTTTAAACACTCACCAGCTGACTGGCAGGTCTCAACTTGGTGTCCAGTGTAACGACTCTGAAATGTACTAAGAGGAATGCAAAGAGACTATTGAAGCTTTTACAGCTAATCTACAGGTTTAAACAGTATCATTACTATGAAACGAACAAAGATTAGTTATTGTAAGATGTGCAAGCAGGCAGGGGTTACGCAACAAACCAGAATAACTGAGAGCTTATGGGGAGATCGACATGTTGTTGGTGGTTACTTTTGCAAAATTAATCAGTGGAAAGTGTTCAACATTCATACAAGGTTACCTGTTTGTCCAGGGAGGTAGATCGGTTTATCTGTTTGGACGAATGTCATTGGTTGATAGACTTTGATCATGACTTTCCTGACTTCTTTTGAGTAAAAATTGTCTCCTCGTAGCTCTACCTCCAGCTTCTGCACCACTTGATTCGGCACTAAGGGAACCTGAAACAGAAAGATCTTTTATTAAGGTAACATAAGGAGAGCGTTAGTTAAAACAGTTAAAAAGAATGTTGCAAAAATGACTGAAAGTCCATCTCGAGAGGCCACCTGAAATTGAACACAGGAATGAAACTCTGCCTTGGTTGTCTTCCGGAGGAGGGTTGTATTCTGCTCTTGGGACATCAAAGTGACGGTCATGTCCAGAGTCTCGTTGGGCTGCAAGAGACTCGCACAGAGTTTGGTCTCAGCTCCAGCTTCAAGAACTGCAGGAATGGCCACCAAGTACTGCCTGCAGACACAGACACACAAACAGTAGATACTTTACTGGATCTCATATGGAGAAACTCCAACCCAGAAGATTATGCAGCAAAAAAATCCAAGATGCATGTAAACTGGTTAAAACTAAATTACACCAAAAAAAACACTATATTGTAGTTTTTGGGACAGTACAGGTAAACTTACGGTCCTGCCACTACTTGACCCACACACATCCAGCTCAGGACACAAAGCGTCCATGTCCACATCTGAATCCCAGGAAGACCCATGACTGACTGACATGAGCCTCAGAGTCAACATCTGTTAAATAGCCTCTGACCCCATCCACCCCCGCTTTATACACACACACACAATGAGTCAGCAGTTGAGTTCTGCACCATTGCTCTTTACCCAGCGTGCGGTGTTTGATTTTGTCATGCAAACAGCTCTTAAAAAGATTACTAATGGCCAAAGTAAACAACCTTACTGCGCTTCTGGTACTTTAACCCACTGAATCGTCTGCAGTTACCAACCAACAGAAATCAGCTGTCACTAGAAGCCAACAAAACTGAAACCACTTATAGTATGAAGAAATGATGAAGAGAACGATACTTTTGTTCTTGTGCTTTCAAAGCTGATAGGTGTTTTTAACAGCTAATTCAGAGTGACTCATCAGCAGAGTTTAAGAAGTACTTTTGCGAGGAGAACAACAAACGCGTGTTTGTACATTTTCAGCTGAGGACTGCGGCTTATTTTAGCTAGCTTTAAGTCAACAATCAATCATGGTTTCAGTTTAATGCTAAAGTTGCTGTTACTGTCACCTTGTCTGTGGTCCGCTGGTAGAACACCGGGTGCTTTCTGATCAAGTGTCGTTGTGCTGTTGCGGTAACGTTAGGCGACATAAGTTTCATTTTACGGTGGACGGACTGTAACATTACAGAGTTGTTGTTTTCTTTTAGCTTGAAGTAATCCCATACTTTGGACACTTTCTTCTTTGTCCCTTGCTATTTTCTCTCTTTTCCTACACTTTGCAAACAGCTGCATCATAATCACGTCGTTTTCACACAGGTAAGCGCGACGTGCGACAGTATTAAATGGGTTTTTGAGATGTGTGTAAATAAGGATGTGTGTGTGTATATAAGGATGCGTGGCCCAAAGGCTGGAGGGAGGGTTTGTCTACGGTTTGAAAAGGCTGGGGTGCAGATATAGCTTTTAAACTCTGGAGGGATAATTGGGTCAGAAATCAAACAAAGTCTAAAACTAAAAGTCTAAATCGAAAATGCATTTGGTAATTAGGATTGGGCTTTTATTATTTAGATTTGGGCATTTAGGACTGGGCATTTGGTATTAAGGATTAGGTATTTGGCCATTTAGAATGTGGCATTTGAGCATTTAGGACTGGGCATTTGGTATTAAGGATTAGGTATTTGGCCATTTAGGATTGGGCCTTTGAGCATTTAGGATTGGGCCTTTGAGCATTTAGGATTGGGCATTTAGTTTTGGGCATTGGGCAAACGAGGAAGCGTGGCCCAAAGGCTGGTAGGAGGGTGTGAAACGGCTGAGGTGCAGAGGCACTTTATGGACTGCAAGTGAAGCTCTGACTGCCAGTCCACTGCAATGGAACCAAGCAGAGCCAGTGAGCCGGGCTGGAGGGAGGACTATAATTTATGATGCCATAACTAAAAGCATACATTTCTGTCCATGTGCCCCCATATTACCACTACTTAAAAATTTTGAGGTGATCGGTTTCCACAAATATTTTGAGTATTCAGAACTGTTTGGGTTTACAGTGTAGGAATCATATCATACCATAATGTAGGAATGTTATTTCTTTACATTATCACAGTATTTAACAAATAGGCAGCATATGAAATCCTGAGTAATCAATCAGAAAATTTGTATATTTTATTAAGTCATTACACAGCCTTGTTATACTGTCACGTCTGACAGGCCACCGTGCACCAAACAAAACTAGCCGACAAATTGTGCAGTTTGGCATGATACTCATCAAGTAGGCTATTTGATTTCTCCCACTCTCGTTGTCGTCAGTACTAAGATAACTCGAAAATACGGAACAAACCGCGTCCCACATTGATTCAAAATGGGACGCGCTATTTAGTTCTCAAATACGGGACAATTCTGTATTTTAAGGAATGGGTGGCAACCCCCAGCCGTCGCCACAGTTACACTGTCTTAATGAGAGCTCAACACTACGGAAAAAAACCCTTATAACTAATACTTCCTTAACCAAAAAACTGTCACAACAGCACCGCTGCTCCTGGTGTTACTAACAAAAGAAATTCTCAGTGTGTGTTCAGTAATCAACCAGTGCCTTACGTGCACCTCCGTCAAAATGTAACCACACATCGAGTCGACGCGGACCGTAAGCTCTGTGATTAGTAGGCTGGGTAGCCTCGGTTAGAAACTTGGTAGCCTATGACGTTACAAGTCGCGGTGGAAATTTTACAAGCACGGACCAGGTAAAGCAGCAGCAGTGAACACACAGGGTGCAGATGTTGGTTTTGGTTGTTTGATGCGTCATTACAAGCCCACAAGCGGCCTACCTGGAGACTGGAAAGGCTATATACAAATATATTCGTATATAAGTACGAAGCATTTACATTTACAGAGAGAGGCGGGGCAAGCCGGAGCGTTTAACTCAGGTGTAAGCCTCTTGTGTGCGGGGAGAAGAGAATTCCGAGGAATGATCGTGGTGATTAAAATCTGCTTTCACATGTGGGGTGGAAAAAAATAAAAAAATTGACTGGGGGCAGGGTTTAACAATCATGATGCCTGCTCGACCATCTGTCAGCCATCAGCTAAACCAGAAGTTAGCCTGCTCGGCCGGCAAGTCAACACAGTGGATGCTGTACCTCTACTGCCGACTAGCGTTTGGGGGTGTAATCGCAGATTGACAGACACATGAACGCAAAAGTATAAATGCCTGGCTACGTGTGGCACTGCTAATTCTGTTATTATAAAACGCCGTTTTGGCAGCACTGATGCTTGTTGAGAAGGAGGATAGGAGCAATTGGTAGCCCTTAAAATCGGCGGAGTCTTTTCTTTCAGCAGCTCTGAGATCAGTACGGAGCCCACGGATGGTATCAGTTGACACTGTGCACTGACTGGATTTGAGTTACATTACTACAACAACCAAATAGCGTTGGTCCGATAGACGATGTCATCGTCCATCGGTGATGGCTGACAGATGGTCAATGGTTGAGCAGGCATTGTGATTCTTAAACATTAGACATTATTTTAAATATGCTCTTAAATATGCCTCTCTCTGTCTCCCCCCTCACCCATCTAATCCACTTTCTCCATCAGCAGTACGTTTTATAAAGTCGCAGACACAGAACTCGTTTTTTCCATATTTTCTTGTGGGTTGTTAATGAAACAGCCTATCAAACAACGGAAACCAACATCTGCCCCCTGTGTGTGACTGATTATCTAAATGTTTGCATTTGTCTAGCTCACAACCATCTGGCACAAGCGCACCAGTTAAAGTTCTCCTGCATAACTGCGCACAGAGCTTGGGTGACCGCTCACTTGCCACCCCAGTCTGGATTAGTAACCACATTAGTCGATCAAGGCACGTACCAGTAGATTTTCAACTGCATTTTTTTTGTCAATGTCAGTAGGCTACTATTTAGTTTAATGGCCCAATTGTCCAGCGACCCGAAAAATGCATCTCTGTCTCTACCTCACCTGTCGTACAGTGCTCACAGACTCTGTATTCTATTGGTAACCAGGACTTTTTATGTCTCCCTTTTTCAATTGCAAGGGTGTGGTCACTGAGTCTTTCCTTTGTAAGAAGCGGCCTCTGCCTGCTATCTCTGACAGTACAGAGATATCCAGCCATTTCATAATCTGTGTTTAGGGCCAGGGTCTCTTCTTCCCAATGTTCCAAATGAGTATTTTTGCTTTGAGTGATCATTTTGTTTACTCTAATTGGTGTTTGTAAAGCATTGCTAGCTTGAGAAAGGTGTGTGTGTGTGTGAGACATGTTACAGGATTTGTTAGTCTCAGGACTAGTTGGCATAAGGGTCTCTCTCTCTCTTATGTTACTTATCTCTGTGGATCGCAACAATTATTTCTCCGAAATTGCTTATGTGTAAATTAGGAGTGCAACAAATAATCAACGTCGACAAAAAACGATAATTAAATTCATCGCCAGCGAAATTCTGGACGGTCCTGTTCACTTTCTAGATGAGCCCTAACTTTACGCATTGGTCATGGCAACGTTTTGCTGCCGAGTGCACAAGATAAGACGACACCAGACAATTTTATACTTTCTATTAAAAAAGAAAGAGAAAAGAAAACAGTTCTCCTGTCTATGCGTGAGGTGGCCGCTAATCTGCCCCAGAATCCCTTAAAGAAAAAATGGATTTTGTGAGTTGGTGAGTTAAGGGAAACAATATAAACTCGTTATTGTTATTGTTCCCCTCTTGTGAATTCGGCAGATGTGACAAATTAAGTAATTCCTGTCTTTGTATAAATATAGTGTTAGATTGTCTCGGTATGTTGCAGTACTGGCGTGTAAGCTGCTTCGTCACTTCGACAGTAAAACAGCTGCTCAGATGAGTGCTCACACAGCGCCTTTAAATTTTGACTTTGTTTACATAATTCCAGTAATTGAGATGTGAGAATAATGTCACACAGATTTTTTTCTCACATTTTTTTATGTTTTATCACCTGTCCTTACAAAATACATTAAAAGTCATCAATTTGACATTGATTAGAACTCATTTGCTATTCATTTCTATTACATTTGTCTAATTTAAAGAGGTGGTATTATGCTTTTTGGCTTTTCCCCTCTCCTTTATTGAGTTATATCCCTTTTTTGTGCATGTAACAGGTTTGCAAAGTGAAAAAGCCCAAAGTCCAGCCCAAAGGGAGTTCCCATCTCCCACAGAAAGCTCTGCTCTGAACTGCCTGAAAACAGCTTGTTTGTGACATCACAATGAAAACGTGTCATAAAGCTTGCCAAGCAGCTAGCAGGGGGAATATTCACTATTCACGGCATCATCATTGCTGCACCAGACAGAGGCCAGCAACAGAAAGTTTTATATTTTACAGTTTTCGTATGGAATTTCATAACTAAATCCACTTCTGAGAAGTTTTGACGTGAAAAATCAGCTGTGTAGATTTAGAATATTGACAGTTTTACAAGAAGTGATGGCAGAACAAAAATTTGCATGAATATTTTCGGAGTTGAGGAGCTCAGCAAGTGGCACCCTGTGCCAACCTGCGGGAGGAGCGTGTGAGGCCGGCCAACCGCCCGTTCACAGAGCCCTCTGCTCCCGCCGTCACACAGACCGCTGCAGCAACAACGGCAGAGGAAAACACAGCTGGAAGGTTTTCAT